GTGTGTGTGTGTGTGTGTGTGTGTGTGTGTGTGTGTGTGTGTGTGTGCACGTAGACAAGCAGGCGAAGCAGGAAGTGGTGGACGAGTCCAGCAGCAGCCACTGCTTCTCGGACCTGGAGCCTGAGACTCTGTATCGCATAAGCGTGCACTCGTTACTCGGCTCAGTGGAGGCCGCCGCCGTCTCCATCCTCCATCCAACAGGTTTGATCAGATATCGAACATTAATTAGCCATCGTTTACAATACCTCTTGTTCTAATGGAATTTACCCTGTGGAGTGGAATGACGTAAAGGGCTTTTTATAGCTTTATTGTTGCTCATTCTGTAAAAAGCTTTTTGAAATGGAAGGAGCCGAGGAAACGATGGAGCCAAATTCCACATTAAAAAGTCGGTCCCTGGTCTGTGTGTTGAAAATACTTGTTTACTGATGAGGGTTTTATTCCATAAGCACCCAGAGAGAAACCACACAGAATGCAATAGCTGAATCGGTCTGTTAAAAGTGCATCTCTGCCCACCAATAACACTGTTAAAAAATGACTTGATGCTGTAGATTACACGGATATAACTGACTTTTGGGCTGCAAAGTCCCAGCCAGAGACCTCTGTCTCTGTCAGTTGTTTGAGTGGTGGGTGGCTTTCCAGCCCACATCAATAAAGTCTGCACAGAGCTTCACTTGAGCGCTTCTGAGCGCTCTAACTCCCGCAGAGCAGAGAGGGAGTCACCGATCTGGAGAGAAGTCGCGCTCACAGGAATTCTGTGAGGAAGTTTGAGTGATTTGTTAGCATAAAGGTAAAAAACAGTGCATGCGGTGGCACTTTGTTAAAGGTTTTCTGTGGCGCTCTGTGTCTTCTCTGTGGGATACGGCTTCAAATATTCAATCCATTCCCTACTGAAGCTAAAAATGGCAATTTGGAAATATTTTACAGGCAAATTCAGCTAAGAATAAATGCTAAAGACACATAATGCTATCTTCATAACTCCATTCAGAACAACAGTTTTACAGTTCTTGTTGGTCTTCCTGATGTTAAAAATGTGTGTAATAAAATCCTCCAAAAGTGCTCAGTTCAAGTTCATTTCTCCTTTGTGAAATCATTAAAGTATTCATCAATCAATTTATCCTGTAGGGGACAGGCTATCTATACTGGAGTTAAAAATAAGATATTTAGAGCTGTAGACAACTCCCCTTACATTAGTGCAGTTGAGATAATGATATGAATTCATTCTTGTTTTTACCTGGAAAATGAAGTTTGTGACATTAGCTACAGGGAAACATCAGTGACCATGGACACTTGCATTGTTTTGATCAAAAACTCTCGAGGCTTTTGTGGTTGCTGATGGGTTTGATCTTTTTTCTCCTACAGCCACAGCTCCTGCCAGAATTCCCATCCATCCCCGGCTGCACCCGATCCACAACGAAGGTTAATTTCTGTCTCAGCTGGCTTCATAAGGCTCCAAGTAGCACTATGGAGTATTTTCTGCATTTAAATATTCAATTTCAAGTTGAAAATGACCACAAATGTTTCCCTTTTATACAAGTAGAGAAACTTAAACTCTTAAAGGTTCAGCAAAAATGTGTGTGTCTTGTATTGCAGTCTGTCCTGAAGTCACCATCAGAAACAGCATCGTTAAAGGGTTCGACATGATGGAGGCGTTCGGCCTGACGCGGAGGGCCCACTCCTCGGTGGAGGGCGTGGCCGCGGAGCCTTTCGTTTTTAACACCCTCCCCACCTACACTCTGTACAGAGATGTCCAGCTGACCCAGAGCACCAGGTCAGACACTTTGCATGGATCTGTCCTCCTCTGAGCTTCTTATTTTTTATGTAGCTCTTTATGTGATGCTGTCAGCCACTGTCATCTGCCCGTTGGATGGACGAGGGCCCAGTTAGTCCTCAGCCATGATAAAGTCAGTGTTTCAGCCACGCAAAACACAATCCCTGCCAAGTCAAATAGCTGAGGGACATCATTATTACCTCATTGGCTGCCAAAGACGTCTATAGACGTCAATTCAAATACAACCTTTGACTGCCAATGACGTCTATAGACGTCTTTTATGTTTTTCAACGAGAGTGGCTTGGGGGACGATCTGCTAAAGCTTGTCCGTAAATATCGGCTTCTAGACAGAGTATGTACTAACAAATTGACCCTCTAGGTAGCAATGCCACTTTTGATGGGAGATGAGCATAGACTGTAGGCAAATAAGAAAAAGGTAACGGTTTGATATGAGAGAACATGACGCCGGTGAGACGCAAGTCGAGAAAGAACGGAATAATGTAGAAACTATTTCTTTTCCTGATGAAAGAAGAGAGTCTACTCTTTCTTTTGGTGTGTTCGGCGTTTACATAGTCATAGCACAAACTATTCTGTGGCTCTTGAAAAATCAGTCAAAATGCTCAAAAAACTCTGGCAGTATGGCACTCTCTGTTCTGAAAATGGCTGGCAGTCAATGAGTTGAATCCCCCTTTTGAGTTTGTCAGTTTGCTCAGGTAACATGCTCTCATTTTTTTGTAATTTGATTATGGCGAAAGATTAAATTTCAGCCAAAATGAATAAAAACACAATCAAAAAAGGTCTAAAAATCCAAAATTGCAGGTTAAAGATAACCAACCTCGGTTTTGCTCCTCACATATCGAGAGGGGATCTGATTCCCTCTCAACTTGCCTTTGTTCTGATCTTTTTTGTCTCCCTCCAGGTTCATTCACCCTGCAGGTTTCTCCTCTGAGCACACCATCAGCATTGCCTTCCGCCTGCTGCAGGACACTCAGAAGCAGCCCTTCGCTCTTTGGCAGCTCACCGATAACGACTTCCAACCGAAGATGGGAGTGGTGCTTGACCGTGAGTGTTCTTAAGATGTTCTGGTTTTTTGTTGCTATTCCATTAAGAATATCAAAAATAACAATTTTTCAAATTGCCCTTGGAAAATATGAAAAAGCCTCTATAATTTTCAGTGACATTATAAAACCACTTTAAATCAGAAATAAAGGACTGAAGGGTTTTGTTTGTCACTTTTGCATCCATGCGTCAGACATGACCTGTGTGTTTTTTTAACTTCATGGAAAGTAGAGGTCTATGGCTCAGGAAAGGAACAAAGCACCAACTGAGGCTTTTGTAGAGCAAGAGTTTGGAAGACTCATTTCTGTTTTTATTTTCTACAGCATCTACCAAACACCTGCTGTACTTCAGTCTGGACTACAGGGGAGAGGTCCAGGAGCTGACCTTTGATCAGCCGCAGGTCCACAAGCTGTTCTATGGCAGTTTTCACAAGGTGAGGTAGAAAATACAGTGAAACCACTACATCCGAATTTAATGTGTTCCAGGACCTACTTCCTATGTTGAAATATTTGTATGTTGGATCAAATATTCCCATAAAAATACACTATAATTCCTATTATTCGTTCCACAGCCCGAAAATCTACGATAACTCCTTAAGAAATACTGCAGATAATTACACATAGCAATAAAACAAATGCATTATATAAGAGAGATGTAAAAATAAATAAATTATAAAAGGTTTTTGTTGGCAAACGGGGGTAGAGGTGGAGACTGAGATACAGGACGTACCCTGACTTATTCTAACTTTCATCATGTGAACTTTAAAGCAACTTGGCTTATTTATTTTTATCTGATTTTATATTTTATATATGTTTTTCAATGACTTCGACATCATATCTTATGTTGGAAATTTAGTTTGGGTGTCGAGCCGAATATTTGATCGAATTTCACTTCGTATGTTGGAAAATCCGTATGTTTAGGCAATCGTAAGTAGAGGTTCCACTGTATCTGAGCCGGTGTCTATGCAGCATTTAAACCTCATTGTCGTTTAGTGGAAAACGGAACAGTCGTGTCCACCTCCTCATCCTTTTGCAGAGGAATGTACAAATTCATCATCTAAAACCTCCATCGTTCCTGGCCTGATGTGACTGAAGGACCAAAGCGCTACACTGTGATTGGCATCTTTCCTTCAGGCTGATGGTTGAATTAGTTTGTTCTTTGCCAGGTCCACCTGTCTGTGAGCCAGGTGAGCGTCTCCCTGTCTGTGGACTGTCAGCACGTGGGCGAGAGGCCCGCCCGGCCTCTTGGCATTCTGCCCACCGACGGCTTTGAGATGCTGGGAAAGCTTACCAAGACCCGAGGTCCAAACAGTGGATCAGCCGCAGTAATTTCTAATCTTTTTCTCCTCCTGCTTTTAGTTTAGACTTTGTTCAAATGTTGGCTGGGAAACCAAGCTGGTGGTTAAATTTCCGATCTTTCTCACGGTGTCCAGTTCCAGCTGCAGTCCTTTGAGATGGTCTGTAACACCACGTGGGCCTCGGAGGACACCTGCTGCGACCTGCCTGGAGTGGTGAGCGGGCCACCTGCCCTAACTCCTCTTTCTTCATAGTGTGCTAGTTTAGAAATATTATTGTTTTATTCAATATTTGAAGCCGTTGGAAACCTGAACTGAAAGCATTTCTTCTGCTTCACCTACCATCAAAGATGGTTTCTTCCGAGTATTTTGGCTGTTGATTACTGCTCTACCAGAGCTCTGCGCTCCCAGATTGAAGGGTTACTTGCAGTTCCTAGAGTCTTGAAAAGTAGAATGGGAGCCAGAGCGTTCAGCTATCAGAGTCCTCTTTTGTGGAACCAGGTTCCAGTTTGGGTCCGGAAGGCAGACGCCGTCTCTATATTTGAGAGTAGGCTTAAAACTTTCCTTTATCCTTTATGATAGAGCTTATAGTTAAGGTAAGTCCACCCCTAATTATGCTGCTATAGGCAGCCATTTTCATCCAGTCTATGCTGTGTAGGCTTTCTCTCTCTGCTCCCTCTGTCCTTCTCTCGCCCTCTCTCTCTCCTTATTTCTCTCACCCCCAACCGGCCGGGGCAGATGCCCCCCCCACCCTGAGCCATGGTTCTGCTCCAGGTTTCTGGCTGTTAAAAGGAAGTATTTCCTTCCCTGTGTCGCCTAGTGCTTGCTCTTGGTGGGAATCGTTGTTCTTCTGTAAATAACTTCAGAGTCCGGACTGGCCTGCTCTGTTTGGAAAGCTGGGAGATAACTGTAGTTTTGACGTGGCGCTATATAAATATAAAATTTAATTTAATTGAAGTGATTTGTGTGTCTGTCTCAGAGAGATGAGGAGAGCTGCCCTGCACCTGCCTCCGCCTGCACCTGCTCCTCCGACATTCCCGGCGCTCCGGGATCCCCCGGGCCAATCGTATGCCACCACGAGCACTCAGACAGGCCGTCCTGAATAAGCTGGCCCGTGGAGTTAACTGCCATGTTCACTTGCTGTCCTCTCTTCCAGGGGAAACCAGGTCCTCGAGGTGAGAAAGGAGAGAAGGGGGAGCTAGGCCAAAAGGTGAGATGAGAAGGATCAGTGTTTATAGAGACTGTCATAACTTCATGGACATCTGGTTAAGGACTCGGTGCCTTTTTGCCTGAATCAACATCCTTTGGCCAGTAAATGCACAGTCGGTGTGGCGCTGTATTTCTTTTAACAGCAGCAGGGGTGATGGCAGTTTTGCTGTGAAGCGACAGTTTCATAACATCCCTGTGTTGACCCTCTCAGGGTGAGGTGGGTCCACCTGGAAGGCCTGGATTTGAGGGAGGCCTGGGCCCGGTGGGCAGCGTAGGGCCTCGAGGCATCACCGTGCAGGGCAAAACGGTGGTTACACTCTCTGCCTCACACTGCATTTGCATGTAGAGTCACTTGGCTTTTAGATTAGAAAAAGAAAAATGTTTTTTCCTGTTTTGATTTGGCCCTGATCAGGGTCCACCAGGAGCCAGGGGAGAAAAGGGAGAGCCTGGGCGGCCTGGAGGACAGGTGACTTAGAAGTCAATGCAAGTCACTTTCATTCACTGAATTATTATCTGCTTGACCTCGTTCTCTTTACCTTTTAGGGTTTACAAGGACCCCCAGGCCCAAAAGGAGAAGAGGGGATCCCAGGACCCAAGGTGAGCTGTTTGATATGAGTGAGGAACGACAGCTCCTCGTCCAGCTGAGCTCTGAATGCTGCTCTCCCTGGGATGTCTTTCACAGGGCATCAGGGGTGTGGAGGGAAACATCGGTGCTCCCGGCCTCACCGGACCCCGGGTAAGATTACTCTGATTCACCTCACAGGTCAGCGTTCTCTGTAAAAAAAAACACAAGACATTTACAACAGTATCTTGCAAATATCTTGTACAAATCTCACTGACTCCTGATGTATTTTGGGGATTTCTGTCCACAGTCTTGTGGAGGTTTCCAGTTAATTCTAAAGTATGCGTTAAGCTGACTGAACCCTTTAGACTGCAGAGCTTGAGCTTTTCTCTTCATCTCCTTAATGCCCAACTTTAACTTTATTCAGACATCAGACCAAGTTCAACAAGTGCATGTCGCCCAGAGTAAAAAAGAAAGAGCGCCCTCTGTTGTTCATGCTGCTTATCGTTGTCAGGTTTTTCTTCCTTTTAGTTAAGGCATCTAGTTTTCTGAATGGAGAACTACTGCCACCTAGCGGTTATTTTGTGTATTGTCTCCTCCGGACACGTTCACAAACGTTCACGTTTTGAATTTAAGTTTACAGATTTTTACAAAGGTGAAATCAAACTGAATTGGACTCAAAACTTACAAAAAAATAATCAAAACATTTAACTGTACTTAATCATCAACAGTTGTGCTGGACAAGAGACATATCCACACCCCAGAGGCTTTCAAACCAAATCCAATTGCACCCTCTACTCCAAACTTCCTGTTTCTGTTTCTTTTAGGATCAATCTTTGGCACCAAGTAAAGGAAAAAAAAGTTAATTGTCTCTGTTTATCCATATTAGCAGTGAAAATGCTGTGTTTATTTGTAGGGTTTCCAGGGAATGCCGGGACACCCCGGGCCCATCGGGGATAGGGGCCCTTCCGGACCTATGGGACCTACGGTAGGACCAGAGGCTCAGACTCGGTGTCAGCTGGTCAGTTTACTGTCCCATTTAACGCTCCTACCTCTGTAATTACACAGGGCCTGCCAGGAAATAAAGGGGAGCGAGGAGAGAAGGTAGGGCATGTCCTCAGTAAGCATCCTGTAAGGTTACCAGGAGATCAGAACCAGACAAATGACGACTTGTTTTTTTATTGGAGCAAAAAAAATGGGAATTTGTTGACCTTTTACAGGGGGAACCTCAGTCAATGGCCATGATCTATCAACTGGTGACGCAGGCCTGTGAGCAGCTAGTGCACAGTGAGTGCTCCGCTTGTGCTCATGCACCATAAACACCGTGCACGGATGCCTATGGGGCAGTGTTCTCAGCAAATTAAAAAATAAAGACGCAGTAACATGCTCTGGTTTTACAGAGGAGGTGCTGAAACTCGACATGTACATCAACGAGATTGGTCGTAAACCAGCTCCTATCGAGGAGCCCGTCGGGCCCCCGGGGGAACCAGGTATACCGGGGTCCAGGGGCCCACCCGGTGGAAGAGGCACTCAGGGGGACACTGGCACCAGAGGGAAGCCTGGCAGGCCTGGTTATCCAGGAGAACAGGGTGAGGCCTCATCTGCCAGGGAGACGGTTTGTTTCAGCTCCATGTCCTTAGTGTCTCTTTTCTGCGTCTGAAGGAAGGAGAGGCTCACCGGGGGAGAAGGGAGAGCCGGGGAACAATGTCCAGGGGCCCCTGGGGATCAAAGGATTTGCAGGTAGTTCCCTGAATCATTTGGTTCACGAGTCACTCTTACAGTGCCCTCCACAATTATTGGCACCCCTGTGTATGATGGGGTTGAGGAAAATTCTCTTTTTTTTTTCTCAAAACAACGTAGAACCCAAATGAAAGAAAAAGAGAAAAATCCAAAATATACACAAAAAAGGTTCAGCAGTCACAAACTCAAAGTCCTCCCATGGCCATCTCAGTCCCCAGACCTCAACCCAATGGAAAACCTGTGGGGGGGGGCTAAAGAGGAGAGAGCATGAGAGAGGACCCAGGACTCTGGAGGATCTAGAAAGATTGTACAAAGAAGAATGGTCAGAGATCCCTCTCTCTGAGTTTTCCAATCTGGTGAAATGTTATAGGAGGAGATTAAGAGCTTTTCTTGTTGGCAAAAGGGGGTTGTACAAAGTATTAGCATCAGGGGGGCCAATAATTGTCGAACACATGATTTCACGCTTTTTATTTGCTAAATGTGTGATTTTATTTTTATCACCAAAGTAATGGACTTAAATAAAAGGTTGGATTTTCCTCTTTTTTTTAACATTTGGGTTCTATTTTGTTTTTAAAAATTTGAGAACCATAACCACATCTTAAACAGGGGTGCCAATAACGGAGCGATGAACGGCCCAGAGCCGTTTCTGCTGCGGTAAGTGTCTGCTGCTGCTGTGTCTGCAGGTCCTCCAGGCGAGTCCAAGCTGGGAGACCCAGGCCCCAAAGGAGACGAGGGCAGACCGGGCCCACCGGGGATCCCCGGACCTCCGGGCCAGCCGGGCGAGATCGGCCCACCGGGCGTGTGCGACAGCAGTGGAGGCTGCCAAAACGTTCCTCAGCAAACCGGTGAGCCGGTGGGGAGGCCTCTGGTGACCAGCCTATGAAATATATTATATATATATATTAATAAATATATATATTCCCTGGTGACCGGGGAATAAAAACACTCAGGGCTGAGGACAGGATCGTAAGGGGGCTGGACATAATGTACTTATTCAGTTATTTCATTTCAGAAACGGTGTGAGGAAATAGGAATCTTCGGTCATATTAAGTCATACGGGCTGTACTGGAAGTCAATTTCTCCCTGGAGATTTATTTATTTATTTATTTATTAAATCAGGACAGTGCACATTAATGAACAATATCATACAGATTGTAAATGAGCCAGATTCTAGCATAGTTGCTAATTCGCATCTGTGGTCCTGAGGCAGGAAGACAAAACAACACAAAATCACATAGTACAATATCAGTTAAAACAGAGAGACACACGTTCAGACAATGACATTACAAAATTAGAATTGGTGATTGCATGACTGGGAACTTTTGAGAAACAGTTTAAGGTGCTTTTTAAATGTGTAAAAAGTGGGACCTTCCCTGATGTTTGTTGGGAGGCTGTTCCAGAAGTGACCCCCTCTGACTGATAGAACGGTTCAATAAAGTATATTCAATTCAATACAATCTATTACACGTAAGCTCATTACAACAGATTCACAAGAGTGGAGCCTTCAAAGGTCCTGCTGCCGTACCCTTGTGATTTATTGTTTAGTATTTAGGAACATAAGTGTACCTTTCAGGGCCTCCAATGTGTGTTTGGGTCCAGTTATTAGCCATATGGGATCCATGGGTCATTAAGTGTATTCCTCTTGTGGAGCAACACATCCCAACTAATGAGAAAATGTCTTTGTTTTTTCTTTAGACTTAATATTTCTAAATTTTATTCCAGATGGCAAACGGACTTATTCCGCCAAACACATTGATAATTTCCATTTATTGGTATTGAGGCTTGTGTGTATTCTTCATTTAGATGAGGCTAATTACGCCTACCAGCCCTGAGTCCACATTCAGAGGCCCAGCAGCCGGACGCGGCCGAACATCTGTGAGGACGGCGCCCGCCTCCTCTGGAGGAGGAAAACCAGGAAGGGCATCCCAGAAGAAACTAGACATGAGGAATGACGCAGAAGCCTCTCCTTTTACAGCACGCGGGAGCATGAAAAGACACAAGAACTGTTCCATTCTTCTTGTGACCGTCACTCTTAAAAGATACAGACTAAATTGTTTGAGGATGGGTGAGAAAGGTTTTTCCCAGTGGGATCAGTTAAGTCGTACACAACATATTCGCACTGAGACTTTTTTGTTACTATTTCTTATGCACTGTATCGATTCAAACTGTTTAGCCATTTATGATCTTTATATATTTGTATTCTAACCTCAACTGCCTCAGAGTTAATGAAAAATAATCCCTGATATGAAAGCTTTTTTTCTTCAGTGGCTTGAATGATACTGTGAGAACGTCTGCTATATGTAGAATTTGTACATGTTTATTGTATTTCTGTTATCTCTTTATCCATGTAGATTTTATAAAGTAAGGCAGTTCATGTTTACATTTTCAGATTTCTTGGGGTGTGTGGGTGGAAAACATTACATGTTTGAATGAGAGAGAATTTTAGATGCTCTATTTTTATGCCCTATTATTTCAGAATAGTTTCTTTTTTTATTAAAATCACATGTGTTTTCAAGTGTTGTGGATTTTCTTTTTTTAAGGAATGAGCAGCCTTTGTGATGTAAAGCTTTGTACATGTCAGGGAATTCTGGTTGTTATGAGGAACCACATTTGGAAGAGAGTTGATTTAACACGTTTTTTTCATCAAGATTATAAAAATAGTTCCCACCAACCTGTGAGACTGTTTAAACTTACCTTAAGAGGTGTCGTTATTTCTGCTCTTTGACCAAATTTGATTTATTATTATTGGATCCAAAAAAGGTTGTGTTTGGTAATTTGCTTGACAATCCCATTTATGTCAGTAACTAAAACATTGTTTCTTAAAAACGGATGTACTGAACTTTTTAGGACAGTAATGAGAAACCCCGTCTGTTTAAAGCACTTTTAAATACAGGTGCTTTCCAAATCAACTGGCATAGTTCTGACATAGCAGCAGCCTGAAATTGGAGCTCTGTGCAAACCTCTTAAATGATCTTGATAGTCATGTTCTGATAATCGGCTTCAAAATGTTGACCAAACAAACAAAATGTTTTCCTGGGGTGGAGACTGAAACATATGGAGAAGGATCTTTTCATTTCATGGCTTCCCTCAAGTCCTGAGGGCAGCTGGAATTGTTAAAAATTTTAAAAGAAAATTTAAGACCTATCTTTTTAGTAAAGCTGTTCATTGGATATCTTTGATAGTATCCAAGAGCCATATTTTACAGATAGTGTCAAATGATGTTTATGATAGTAGATAGTAATACACGAATGAGTGTTGTTTTTGATGATGATTACGAAAGGGACTATTGCCTCTTCAGTGGCTTTTGTTTAATATCTAATAGCTTTGTTTAACAATGTATTGGAAGAAATTTTGAATGCATGGTTTCACCGTCGTGAATTGTTTTGAAAAGATCAAACCGGAAATCGTGGCCCACTCAATATAGCTTTGGGCTCCGTGATAACGTTTGCTTCCCGTCGCCATGGCAAGCCGAAAAAGTCAGCCAAACCGAGACAATGGGGACAAATACTCAATACTGTTACCAACCTACAACGAAAGAGAAAACCTCCCTCTGATTGTGTGGCTTTTGGTTAAATATTTCGGGGAAAGGTAAGTTTCTGGCAGCTAGCAAAGCTGCTGGGCTGCTACAAGCTAACTTTAACGTCTGTTAGTGATGAGCTGTCAGTTATGCTAGCAGGTGTCGGTTGCATGTTTTTAACATACAAAATTCCCCCTTTTTTAGGTTAAACATAGTTTTGAAACCGGTTTGGCATTTCCTCGTACCTCTTTGGTGTGACATTGCAAAATTAGTCTTAACAAAGGCTCCTTTTTCTGTTTTATTTGCAGTGGCTATAACTACGAGATAATCGTCATAGACGATGGGAGCCCAGATGGGACACTTGAGGTCGCAGAGCAATTACAGAAAATTTATGGAGAGGACAAAATAGTAAGTCAGAAATAATTTCTAATGAATATATCGTTTTCCAGTAGCACAGAATATTTCAAGGATGCATTAAGATTATACACAATATCAACTGTATTAGTAAAATCTGTGTCATACAGTTAGCCATTAATTTAATTTCAGTTATACTACATAACAATGCACCTATTTTCTTTGTTTCTTCTCAACAATCAGACCTTTTTGTCAACTTTCAAAGTTATCCTGAGCAACTTAGTTTCCCAGACCTCTTGTAAAATATATGCTCATCTTGGATTATTCTAGCAATTTCAGCAGCATTTTCAGAGGAGTGCATTTTTGTTTGTTTAAGCTTCTAAACATCGATCCATACATTTTTCTATACCTTTTTTTTTTTAATTCCAAGCAAAGTCGCATTGGGTACTACTAAATCTTAATCTTGATTAAAACATAAAAAAGAGACTTAACTCATGTGACAAACCATTTTATGTTGACACATATTGTCACAAAGACATTATATCCAGACAGAAAACAGTTTTTTTCGGGTATCAAGGTGATTTCCAAAGAGCAATTAGCTGAAAACATGAGATATCTTAGCTTCATGTACAGTGTGTCCTTAACACATTTTAAGAAACCAAAGAAGTAGATGACAAAATAATACCAGCTGACTTTTGTTGGCATCATTCAAAAAAGCTGTTTTAACCTTTTATATTAGCACATATTTGAATAACTACCACAGCCGCCTTCTCATTTTCCTGTAAATTTGAAAAGAAAATTGGGATGGCTAAAAGCTTGCATCTACCGCGGATGGTTGGTATTTCTTAAACTTAGTGAAACCATAGAATACCATATTACATAATCCCCAAATATTTATTTTTTTCAGCTTCTACGACCACGGGCAAAAAAATTAGGCCTTGGTAAGTTGGACACAGGGTAATTGAGTGCATTAGCGGGATGACCTCCACCAGGTAATGTTGTGTTCTTGCTTCCCGTTAAAGGCACCGCCTACATCCACGGCATGAAACATGCAACTGGAAACTTCATCATCATAATGGATGCAGATCTGTCGCATCACGTGAGTTGTGCTTGTCTCATTTTGTGTCTAAAGAGCTGATATGTCAGAAACATGAGGTGCTGATATGGAACATGGATGTCTGTTAAGTATGTAATGATGTGTATGATGTGGAAAACTTTTAAATGTGAACATTTAGATGTATTTTTGTCTTAAAAAACACTCTGAAGACCCCAAAAATTAATTATATTTTTATTATGTGTCTGTTTTTGACAATCCTTTCTAAATAAACTATACATAACATATTTTCTCTTGTACATTTTAATATTTAATTACTTTGTGTTATTATTTTTCATTTCAGCCCAAGTTTATCCCTGAATTTATAGAGTAAGTGTCTCATAAAATCCTTATTTTTACTTTTAACTATTTGTCCTTTTGTTGGGAGTGCACAGTGAAACATTTCAGGATTGACAGATTATATATTTTATTCCAGTGCAACAAGCGGAAATTGAGGTATTTATTTATTCTGTTCTTAATTCCCAGAAAGCAGAAGGAGGGTAATTACGACCTTGTGTCTGGAACTCGTTACCAGGGTAACGGAGGCGTTTACGGCTGGGACCTGCGCAGGAAACTCATCAGGTGGCAGTGGATGCTTGTTTAAAAAACAAACAAAAAACAATTTCCCTCGTTGCTAAGTAGCTTAGTTTTACATTTCCTCTTTGCCTCCTGATATTTTCAGCCGTGGGGCTAACTTTTTGACTCAAGTGTTACTGAGGCCTGGGGCCTCGGATCTCACCGGCAGCTTCAGGTAAGCGGTGCAGAAATCGGGGGTTTACGTTCGGCTGACGTTTAAACTCTACATTCATGTGGTTTTCTGTGTTTTACTCATCTTAGGTTGTACAAAAAAAAGGTTTTGGAGAGTCTCATGGAGCGATGTGTTTCCAAAGGGTACGTTTTTCAGATGGAGATGATCGTCCGAGCCAGACAGCTCAACTACACCATTGGAGAGGTGAGCTCATACTCCTTTTTTTTTCTTTTTTATTCTTTCAGTCGGGTGTTTTAGTTTGCCCTCTTTTCATATTAAGTGAATCTGTTCATAGTCAGAATTCACAGCTGATGGTAATTGGCCTTAAAAATGAAGCTTTATAGGTTTTTTTCCCCACGTTAGACAGGATCGGCCTTTAAGACCAATACAATACAATACACACATCTGGTATACTTGGAATAATTGGATAAATAGACTCCATAGATTTCTTTAAACCTCAATGAGAAATGTAAAAAGTAGTTTCAGTGTTTATTTGGCATCACAGCTCTAAGAAGACATTAAGACATCACTTAGACTTACACACACGAACACCTAACCCAAATGTTCATGTGATAAAAATAGCTGCTTTTTCATTGTTATTCTTTTAACTTGTCTTGTGTTTTACACCTTTTCTCTTCCTACACATCACAGGTACCCATTTCATTTGTGGATCGAGTTTATGGAGAATCCAAGCTGGGGGGGAATGAGATTGTGTCATTTGTGAAAGGACTGCTCACATTGTTCGCTACAACGTGATCGACAACGTTCTCCAGCTGGAAATCCCACCGTTTTCTGGAGGTTTTGTGAGGCTTTGCGTGTCTGTCGCCGACACAGAAGCTACACCACAAACAGCAAATGACGATGAAAGCAACTGTCCCCGTTAGAAGTAAAATTATGTAAAATGCTTCACACTCATTAGCTTCTCAGAATACTGAATCAACTCGGTGCTTAACATTCCGGATATCCTGGTTAATCGCCAAGTCCAGTTATCATTCCCAGTCCAGACATCTTACTTTGTTTTAACAAAGTTTTCAGATGGGTGTAAATTCACCTTCAAGCGCGACTTGTTGTAATAAACAGTTTGTAAGGCTGTTTCTGTTTTGTCGTTTCCTTTCTCTTATCCATGACCAAAAAGAAAGTGAACACAAATACAACGGGCTTGTTTACGCTCTCATAATTTGACAGCTTTTAACCAGATTTTGGTGGGTCCTCAGCAAGATAGGTGTAGTAACAGTCTATTACCTCTATTATGCCAAAGACTAACCAGGTTCTCTTCTTATACTCCCAATCACGCTTATGGGACAACCTGCTCCACACAAATTACCAGAAATCCAAGACATAACTTGATAAAGATGATATCAAATATGATAAGAAAGGCAGTGTAAGTTGTAAAGAAGCTGCTGGGATCCCAGACCTCATGGCACTGAGGTGGACATGAGGGGAAAGTGGGAGGCTCAAAGGGAGGCCTAACTTTTCCCATAGAAAAACCACGTTCGTTTCCCGGCATTGTGAGAAGAAAGTAGTTCCGGTCACTTTGGCACAGTTGGGCCGTTAACCTCAACGCGTACCACGGCGCCACCTGGCGTCGGTTTTGCCGCCAGCGGAGTGCTGAGGCACTGTGTGCATCCGACTCCGCGGGGGAGACGCCAGATGTAGCCGCACTGCGCATGCGCGTTAAGTCCAAAAAGCCCACCACAGTAGGACGCCCGCTGTCGGACGGTTGCTGTAATTACTCCGCCGGGTTGTTTACCCCACAGATTCTGAGACGCCAAACAAAGCCCACCGACCATTTTGAGAGACGACAGATGCCTCCTTTCAACAGACATTTACTTAATTGGCCGAACTGATTGACAAACCAATCAAGAGTTTTAACGAGGCGGGTTTACGGGGAGCTCACAATGAGATTATTTATGCTAATAAGGTAGATGTCACTTCCGCCCCTTTTATTTGCGCCATTTTGGATAGGGCAGTTTCCAGGCTGGATGTGTATTGTCTGTCAGAGGGGAATGGGCAAACCGAAATCCGTTACCAGGAATTACAGCCAGAGTTAAGGTAAATTTGTCTCCGACAGTAGGTTTTTCGGTACTCGTTCCCCGCCAGATGAACATGTGTCCACCCTCCACTCTGACGGGAACCAGGGTTTTAATTTGATGAATCTCGGACGCTCTGTTCCCGTTCGCCGACTGGAGGGAAGAGGATAGCCCCTGTCGGTGAGGGACGTTCCGGGGGGGTTTCGGAGGGCAGACCGACCGTTTGGCTTCACTCGCCCCCGGTTCGCGGGGCACCTGAGCGGGTGAGAGGGTCCACACGTCCCCCTCAGCCATCCCGAGAGGAGACGTCTCCCTCGGACGGGAGCGCTGGATGTGAAAGCAGGTAAAGGCGGATGTCGTGTTTTAGAGTAACCCCCCCCCGGTTTTGTGTTGTTTGGTTTGGACGTTAACCGTTGTTACCTGCGGTGATGTGATGGGAGGCGCGAGCCCCGGCTAAGGTAACCCGGCTGTTGATAACGGTTAATATTTCTCGACAAGGGGGCGTTAGCACAACTTAAAACACCCAGTGGCTTGTTTCGGTTATCTGAATTTATTGTTCCGTTATTATTATTGTTGTTTATTCTTTTCGGAGGCAGTAAGAACAAAGGTTGGAGCGTTAGTTTTCAGACCCGTGTTGTTGGTGCGAGTGGGCTAGCTTAGCATGCTAACTGAGCGCGGTGTCTCTTGCCTGTTCTTTGTCAGTGGCAGCTGCTCTCTGCCAAAGCCATCGATCTGGATCCTGCCAGATGTTGCTCGGCGATTAAATGCACCCACATCGACTCCATGGTCTGACACCCACTTCCCCCGAGTGGTAACACGGGTCTTGATAGTTAGTGTTTTCATTTTGGTAAATCTGGAACCAATAAGAGGGGAGCTGTCTGAGTGAAAACATAGTTTTATTTTGAGAACTGTTATGGAGTCCCCGTTCAGGTGACATGTGTTTTGATGCGTTCATAGGTGGGGTTGGGTTTTGGGGGAGGAGTGGGAGGTTGTCCTTTCTCATCCGCTCACCTTTAGGGCTGTGGACGCCGGACAGGTGTGTTATCGGTGGTGGAACAGGTTCTTCTGTTTTTCTAAAGCGCCTGTAACTTTTTCTGCTCTTGCAGTGGATGTGGATGTCACCAGAAGCCTCTCCCCCTTAGGAAACATTTGCACGGTGAGGAAGCGCAAACAGGAGCAGTCAGATCGCTGCTTTTGGTGGAAGGAGCGTGAGGAAATCTGTGTCTGAAGGTTCTGAGGCCTCTCGATTTTGCACCACTGTAGAAGAGAAACCTGCTTTCTGCCAGCAGCCCTCAGCAGAGCAGAGCAGCCTCCTCTTACGTTTCCTCTCTCTCCTCTTCCTTCTCTCCCTCCCTTCCCTCCTACTCAGCCTCTCCTTGGCTTTTTTTTCTTCTTCTCTCCCCTCCCCTCTTATCCATCGCCCCCTCTTTCTCTCACCCTTTTCCATTTTCTCTCTCTCCCTCCCTCCCGCCCTCCTCACCCACTCCCTTCCCCTCTTCACTAAACCAGGCTGTCCGACCTCCCTGCCTCTCCCCCCCCCCCCTCCCCCCCTTCACTTCCGTCGCTCACTCTGTCCTCTCCCCTTTCCTCTCCTCTCCCCTCGCACTTGCCCGGTTACTCCCCCTCCTCTTCCTCTCGGCTCCCTCACCCTAACCCCCTCCACCTCATCCTCTCCACACTCACCCTCCCCCTCCCCCTTCCCTGTTCTCTGTTGCTCCTTCTGTCCCTCCTCTTCCTCCCTTCCAACATCACTCCCCCCCCTCCCTCCTCTCCTCTCCCTCCCTCTCTCCTCTCCTCTCCTCTCCTCCCTCCCTCCCTCCCTCCCATCCCCCTCCACTGCAGACATATTGTAGGGGCTGCTGCTTACTCAATAGGAGGCGCCATTCTGTGATGGTATTGCGAGGCATGGAGAAAAGGGGGCAGGCTGAGTGTGGGGAGGGTTGCATAATGGAAGTCCTCCTCAGCGCCATCTACAAGTTAGGGAAGGAAGCAGGAAAAAGAGGCACCGGGGGGGAAGTGGGCAGTGGCGTGTGTCTCTCACCCACTTCCAACGCTGAAAACAAGGCGTCACAGGAAGCGTCAGTTACTGCTGACCCCGCTTCATGTCATTGTACATCGGTGACCTTTGACCTTCCCACATGGAGCTGTGTTTTAGAACAGGTTCACCCATTGGCTCTTCAACCCATCACTGAAAAAGCAGCTTATAATGGCCGCAACGTGATTAGCAGGAAGGCCTCGGTTCGGCTGCAGGCCTCTTCCAATCCGGTTTTGTCTCCCTTCCCCAAAAGAGGTTTGCTCCCGCTAAATGAAGTTCCTGTTGGTTTACACTATCACATCATTCGGCACGCAATTTATTCTTTGTTTGCGTTTTGTGGCAGGAGGGTGCCGGTAAAGCGAACCCTGGTTGTCATAAGCAACCAATCACGTGCGGCTCTTCTGCTGAAAACACGACCAGCTGAGATCTCTTGTAAACAAACGTTTATTTTTACACGCACTATTACCTGCCAACCGCAGCCACCAGTCGGGCTGCAGCGGTCCGAGCCAATTAAATGCATCAGGAGGCTCCTGTAAGACGTGGACGGATTGTTTGGAGGACGGTCGGACCATCAGGCTCCGCGGCCAGAGGTTTCAGACACGTCCGGTCACAGCTGGACGTTTGGGTCTGAGGCCTTTGTGTCGGTATCAACACCGCACTCGCTTACTGGTCGTTTGAGAACTCAGAGAAAGACTAACTGCAGCATTAGCTGCTACACCGGGTGACCTTAAGAAAGTATTACTTGAGAGGTGGCTGAGAAATGTGTGCAGGAGGCCCTGATGGGATCCTAAAGATATTAACTGTGAGAGGCTGCTGACACCCTGATCAGACCTATGGGGCCTCACAGGGCTCGTGCTCATCACCAACCTCTGATTAGCACACATGTTCTTATGAGAGGAACCGGATGGAAGATGCAGATGGTTTACAAAAAAAAAGAGCTTTTAAATGAGCGAACTCTTGTGACTGGATATCGGATAGCCAGTTGACAACCACTAGAACTTGAGCTTTGTATTTGGTCTCTGTAAATCATTATCGATTGTTTCAGATTGACTAACATTTGCTGCCCAGTTTGCTGAAACTTCTCTACACGCTTATGTCTTTAAATTTGTCCAACAAACGCAGAGGGAATGAAACGTGTGGAACGAAGCATCTCAGATGCAACAAACTGCACCTCAGAAACTCTTAGTGAAAAAATCTGCAGCAAAGTTTGTTTACTCTCCATACAGGAGTGTCTCCAAAGCAACAGATATTTTCTGAAGCTCTTCTCGATATGAATCAGGCGTGTGGAAGCTACTTCATGCTCGTGCCGTCCTCTTTTGATCGGGTCAGGATGTCGATACTTTTTGTAGACAGACTCCCAGCTTATTGTTCTGTGTCTTCTTCGGTGGTTATTTTTAAAAGAACGGAAAGAATGAAAGCAGGATGTCTTCTTGTTTCCGGGTTTGATTGATTTAGTTTTAGTCCTGAATATAGTTTTTCTATATCAACCCAAACGCTTCGTCTCTGGTTCTGTTCAGCAGAACCATGTTCGAGATGTGGAAATGTGCACTTAGTCTAAACGAATCGAAGTAAACGTCACTGAATTTAAAGAGGCCGTTCGTTTGCCCGGTACGTGCGCACGGCTTTAAGATGTAAGACGTAGAAAGGTTGTAAAAAACCGTGTGATTACTCGGCCCCTTCGCTTTCCAGGTGCTCGTCTAAACTCCAGAACATGCTTGCTGATAGCCTGCTGTACGGGTCTGTTTTCATCTCTTTTTTTAGGCAGCCAGAATGTTCCAGCTCCCCGTCAATAACCTCAGCAGCCTACGGAAAGCAAGGAAAAATGTCAAGAAGGTCCTGGGAGACATCGGCCTGGAGTTCTGCAGAGATCACTTAGAGGTGAGCGCTCAGTTTCTACCCTTGACTTCACGGTTGGACTTTTTTTTTATTTTTTAGAAAGGTCCTAGAGATTTCTAGATGGGCAGACGTGCCTTTATATTTGCACTGAAAGCATCTTTTTGTTTTTGAGATGCATAGTAAAGCAAGCTTTAGGAGATGTGTGGATACCACACCGAGGCGCTTCTGCTCATTGTGACCCGCTTACCGTAGGGGAAGGATGCGCCTCTCTCTTAAAAGCGCAGACTTTCCATAATTTATCGTCAAGTTCTCTGGATTTCATAAACCAAGCCCCACACAGGGAAGAGTTTTTACATTTTGTAAAGAGCTTCAAAAGACATGACTCATTTGCTTTAAAAAGCGATTCTGCACAGCAGAAATCTACTGTGAGTTTGTCTGCTCTGACATTGGGCAGATGCGTACCACGGACGACCGGACGCTGCGCAGTGTGGCCACACTATGAATAAAAATCCATATTTCAGCGTCTAACACGCAGCGTTAGATGGGCTTATTATTTGAGGTGATATCACCTCCTTTATCCAGACTCAGTGAATTTTTAATGTATTATCAAGCCGGGCTCTGTTGTTTTAAATGGGTCTGAGTCCGTTTGGTACATTAGATCCACCCACCGAAACGGAGCACCACGGGGGGGTTAATTGTAGTTAACTTGGACATTTGTTTGATCCAACCTGTCCTAATCTTAAACTCTTTGCTTTTTAGGACTTTAAAGACTTCACTCCTCCAGAGGTGTATATCAAGCACACAAGCTGGGAAGATGTCTGCATGTGGGAGCCATCGCACACCAAAGTCCAGGTTGGTGTTACACACACACACACACACACACACACACACACGACTTTAAGTGTGATTGGAAGTGCTGCTCACAGAATCAAGTTTTTTGCATTGTCTCTGGAAACCGAGTTTCTCAAGGCATGTTTTCCTCCGTCTCCAGGACTACAGATCAAAGCCTTTCTGCTGCTCGGGCTGCCTCTTTTCCTCCAAGTACTTCTCGGCATACAAGAGCCACTTCCGCAACGTCCACAGCGAGGACTTTGAGAACAACATCCTGCTCAACTGCCCCTACTGCACTTTCAATGGCAACAAAAAGACGCTGGAGACGCACATCAAGCTGTTCCACATGCCGGCCAACAGCGGGCGGCAGGGCCCCGCCGGCGCGGCGGCGGGGGCCGGCGGCGTCCTGGCCAAGGACGGGCTGCTCAAGCGGGCCGGGGACAGCGTGGAGCAGGCGGTGTACTACTGCAAGAAGTGCACCTACAGGGACCCTCTGTACAACGTGGTGCGCAAGCACATCTACCGGGAACACTTCCAGCAGGTGGCCCACCCCTACATCGTGAAGCCCGGGGACAAGAGCAACGCTCACAACGGCGGGAAGACGGACGGCGGCGCCGGCAGCAACCAGATCCACTGCAAGAAGTGTCTGTTCGTCCCCCGGACCTACGAGGCCCTGGTCCAGCACGTCATCGAGGACCACGAGAGGATCGGCTACCAGGTCACCGCCATGATCGGCCACACCAGCGTGATCGTGCCCCGGCCCAAGCCCGTCATCATGTTCCCCCCCAAAGCGCAGGGAGACAAGACCATCATCGGGATGGGCCCCAAAGGGGCCGTGATGGCCACCACCAGGTCTCCGGCCTCGCAGCAGCTGGGCCGGGCCGTCATCGCCGCGAAGGCGGGCTTCTCCTCCCACGGCCTGCTCTCCGGGCTCAAGCACGACGCCATAGCGCTGAAGGCCGGCGCCGGCCCGCCGTTCTCCGCCGGCGGCCCGCAGGGCAGGCTCAGCATGCCCGGGAACGCCCAGGTGTCCGTGCCCCAGCAGTCCCACGCAGCCAAGCAGCTGGTGCCCGGCGGCAGCCTGCGCGGGCCCCTGGTGGCCGGGGCCTCCTCCTCCTCCCTCAAGGCCAACCCCCTGGGCTCCCGGGTCCAGGCGGCCGCCACCACCGTGGCGTCCGTCACGGCCAAGAAGGGCGGCTCCTCCGTCCTGGGCACGTCCTACACCCAGAAGTGGAAGATCTGCACCATCTGCAACGAGCTCTTCCCCGAGAACGTGTACAGCGCCCACTTCGAGAAGGAGCACAAGGCGGAGAAGGTGCCGGCCGTGGCCAACTACATCATGAAGATCCACAACTTCACCAGCAAGTGTCTGTACTGCAACCGCTACCTGCCCAGCGACACGCTGCTCAACCACATGCTGATCCACGGCCTGTCCTGCCCGCACTGCCGCGCCACCTTCAACGACGTGGAGAAGATGGTGGCCCACATGCGGCTGTCCCACCCGGACGAGAAGGTGGGGCCCCGCACGGACTCTCCCCTGACCTTTGACCTCACCCTGCAGCAGGGCAACCCCAAGAACGTCCAGCTGATCGTCACCACCTACAACATGAGGGACGCCCCCGAGGAGTCGCTGGCCTTCCACGCCCAGAACGCCCCCTCCATGGCGTCGGCGCTGTCTTCCTCCCTGTTATCCAGCAAGAGGCTGATGCCTCAGCACCCCCCCCAAGACGCACTCGGGTTCCCCGGACGCCCCCCCGGCCAAGAACGCCCCCCAGGCGTCCGTTCCCTACAAGAGGGACGTGGGCAAAACCCTCTGTCCGCTCTGCTTCTCCATCCTGAAGGGCCCCATCTCGGACTCGCTGGCCCACCACCTCCGAGAGCGCCACCAGGTGATCCAGACCGTCCATCCGGTGGAGAAGAAGCTCACCTACAAGTGCATCCACTGCCTGGGCGTGTACACCAGCAACATGACCGCCTCCACCATCACGCTGCACCTGGTGCACTGCCGGGGCGTGGGCAAGTCCCCCAACGGCCAGGACTGCCGGCCCGCCTCCTCCCGGACCGGCCCGGCGCCGGGCGCCGCCCTCAAGCGGGCCGGCCCCGACAACCCCGACGGCGGCGCCCCCAAGCGCCGGAGGCGGGGCCCCCCGGGGGAGCGGGCCCACCCGCGGGACTCCAGCGGCCCCTTCACCTTCGTGGAGAACCCCGAGGACCCGGTGGTCCTGGCGCTGGACCCCAAGGGCCAGGAGAGCCAGCCCTACGAGGCCCGCAAGGCCTTCCTGACGCGCTACTTCAACCGGGCGCCGTACCCCAGCCCGCGCGAGGTGGACAAGCTGTCGGCCAGCCTGTGGCTGTGGAAGTCGGACATCTCCGGCCACTTCGTCAGCAGCCGGCGGCGGTGCGTGCAGGAGTGCGAGCGCCAGCGGGCCAGCGTGCTGCTGGGCTTCAGCATGGAGGAGCTCGCCACGCTCAGCCACCAGCTGGCGCTGGGGGGGGGCGGAGCCTACCGGGGCGGCCGGCGCCGCACCTCCCGGGCCTGCAGGGGCGTGTCCCAGCGGGCGCTCCAGAGACACCGGGAGCTGGCGGCGCTCAACGGGGGCGTGGCGCCGCCGAGGAGGAGGGGCACGCCGCCGGGCGCCCCCGGCAACGCCACGGACCAAACCAAGACAATCCCCAGCACCTTACCACAGAAGAGGCCTCTGGACCTGTCCGAGCCCATCGCCGTCGACTCCGACAGCGACCCGGACGAGCGCCCCCCCCCCGGCGCCGGCGGGCCAGGCCCGTCTCCACGGCAACCAGCCGCCCGCCGGGGCCGCGGGGAGCACGGAGCCGGGCGCCAAAACCGGCTCCGACTCGGACGACCTGTCGGAGGACGAGGAGGAGGACGATGATGACGAGGAGGAGGAGGAGGAGGAGGAAGGGGCTCACGTGGAAAACGGCTTCGGAGCCTCGGATGGCGCCGGGCGGCCGGCCGCCAGAGGGAGAGACGCTCTGCCCATCATCATCCCAAAGTTTGTCCCGTCGGCGGCGAGAGGAGGCCGAGACGGCGCCCAGCTGGGAAAACAGCAGGTCTGAGCCACGGGGGGGGGGGGGGGACCCGGACATTTTCCCGGTCTTTTCCTGGTCTTTTTAAGGGGACGGCGACGTTCAGCCAAACGAGGCGAAAGTAGACTGTCGTGGTTTTGCCTTCTGTAGTCTTCAACACTCAGACCCAGGAGCTCGGCTTTAGCTGAAATATTCAGTTGTTTTGAGGTAAAAGCTTTTAAGATGAACCATAATTTTTCATGTAGTTCTACTGAGATGGGTTGTGTAAATTTGTACAGCCTTTTAGACATGTTTGGACAGATGTTCATGTATCATTAAATATTTCCCATTACCTGTGTGTAAGGTAGCCTCTTTACGTTCTCCATCGGTGAGCTTAACTCTAGGTGTCGCTTTGGTGGCTGGTATTTCCTTGTATGTTTTTATATTTGAACAAAAACTAGTATTTTTTTTGCAAATTATCTATATATAAATATATATATCTATTTTTTTTTTAATATTGTTTAGATTTTTTTTCTAAAATCTTTCATTTCTGTTTGAAAGAAATGGCAGCCCCGAGTTTTTTTTTTTTTTTTTTTTAAGTTCTTTTTGCCCACCGGCAGTCTAAAGGAGCAGTTCCTCACCTCTTTGCAGCTTTCACTTTGGCTTTCCTCGTACTTGTTCTGTTTCCACGGTTTCAGATGGATGTTTGTTGGGCCTGGACATCAAAGCGCCATGTCGGCATCCGGGAAAAAAGTGAAGAGCTTTTTATTTTTTTGTTGTTCCTATAAAAAAAAAGAAAAAGTGTTCAGTATGTGTTCTCTGAATTGTGTTTGTTTTCTGTTTTCCTATTTCGCCGCCGCATTTCTGAACGATAATGTGCTGTTTTTGTGACTCTCTGAGCCAAAGGCATCCCAATTACTCAGTTCGGATTAAAGAGCAGACGGATTATTCTCAGTTCATGTTGATGCACAGTGATGATAAAGGAAAAAAAAGCTTTCGGTGTCTTTATTCCTAAAGTCTGACCACTTGAAAGCCCCATTTCTGTGCAATTTCTCCTTAAATTACCAATCAAATCCTTTGATCCTTAAAGTTACTACGTGTCTGTGGGGTCGAACCAAAAATACATCTAAAAAACGTATTTTTCTTTATCTAAAGTCCTTCTGTGACTCTTGAGAAAATTTAGACCAAATAAACTAATTTACATTTTTTAATTGTATAAAAATGTTCTAAACATTTTACCATAAATGGCAAAAAAGGGACTTGATACTATAAAAGAAAGGGTTTTTACTAAAAACTGCCGTAAGTCTCATAAATCTACCTATCAGATTGGATCCATTTGGCATTAAACGGTAAGAAACCCCGAGTGTCGATAAAAAGATGCAACCCCCCCCGCCCCCCCCCCCAAAAAAAGACATCAGATTATGTTTATTGACCCAAAAGTCCAGTGAGAAACTCTCCAGACTGTCAAAATAACACAAAAAGGACCCTGAATGAGTGATGAAATATTTAAAGTATATATAGATTTAACAAAGGTCCATCACTGTGGAAATCGACTAATCTAAACTAAGATCTATTTCCTGTGACATACCAGCAAAATGAGAAAGTCCTGTTTCAGACGGTGCTGCATCTCCCTGCGTAGCCATGGTAACCACGGCGGTTTGTCAGCTGGTTTTGGTGAGAACCTGTGGCTGTAGTCC